CCTCTGACCACCATCAGTAGGCAAGGTGGGTAAAGTGTCTTGCCCAAGGACACAACGACTGAGACGGCCGGACGGGGGATCGAACCAGCGACCTTCCAGTTCCAGGACGACTCCCCTAAACACTCCGCCACAGCCGCCCCTTATCCTGAAAGTCGTCTCCTTTTAGAGAGAGCTAATTTTGTTTGAAGGAAAGCAGGACATGTTTTGTGTCATCCTAGACTTCTTTATCACATCACATCATTATATGGCTGCTTTGTTCTTGAGTTTGCTTCATTAAAGAAATGTTTGTAATAAAAATACTGAGTGGGTCCTCAAGTCTTGTCGCTGTTGTGAAACAACAGGTTGTGTTAGCTGTGCTTTACGTTTATTTTATTATAAACATTTCACTTATTTTTAACGTTTTACATATTTCTCACTGGATTTCGAGAAAAGACAGAGTAGTCTGATTCTTGGCCCAAATAGCTTGTTCTCAGTGTGGGTTGGACTCTAGCAGGGCTGTCCCTTGTCTCTGATCCTGTTTGTAGTGTTTGTGGACAGGATCTCAAGGTGCAGTCCTGGAGAGGAGGGTGTCTGGTTTGGGGACCACAGGGTCTTGCTTTATGTAGATGATGTGGTTCTGTTGGCGTCTTCGGACCACAACCTTCAGAGTGCACTGGGGAGGTTTGCAGCTGAGTGTGAAGCYGCTGGGATGAGAGTTGGTTCCTTCAAGTCAATCTGAAAAAGGTGGAAGTGGAGGAGTTTGGGTCTCTGGGTGTATTGTTCATGAGTGGGATGGAGAAGGAGATGGATCAATGGATTTGAGGTCTCTTCCTCAGTAATGAGGCCTTTGCTTCAGTCAGTCATCATGAAGAAAGATCTGAGTCTAAAGTTCTCAATTTACTGGTCTATGTTCCAACCCTCACCTGTGCTCATGAGGTGTGGATCATGACTGAAAGAACAGGAACCTTGACACAAGCGACTGAAATGAACTTCCTTCATAGGGTGGCTGAAGAGAGAGATGAATTGAGGAGATCATAGTAGAGTTGCTGCTCCTCCACATCGAAAGGAGTCAGTTGAGGTGGTTCATCTGATCAGGACGCCTCCCTTTTGAGGTGTTCTGGACACGTCCTGCTGGTAGGAAGCCCTTGAGAAGACCCGGGACTTGCTGATGGGATTATGTATCCTGTTTGGCCTGGGAACACCTCAGGGTCCCCCAGGAGGAGGTGGAAAGGGTCGCATGGGAGAGAGATGTCTGGTTTCCTGTTGCCTCCACAACCCGACTACATAGACACGACAGAAAATGGACAGACAAGTAGAAAATACTTCCAAGTTTGCTGGCTCAAATTATTCAAAGAGAAAAGTGGGTTTTCCAAGAGATTCTAAGGGCAGAGTCTGTTTTAGTGTCACCACTTTGCTTTTCCTTCACAAGCCAGTAATGATGTTACCGTGTGTAGCCTTTCCTGGTATATTATTAAAATGTAGTGTATCACCATGGGGCAATCATTCCTTCATCTGTTTATTTCTTTTTGTGTTGCAGAAATAACCCAGTTTCTTTTCCCAATACCCTTGTTTGGCGCATGACAAAATATTCCACTCAATCTAACCGAATGAGTCGTAGCAGGCGTAAAGCTGAAGGTGCCCCGCTGCTAACACTTTCAGCTCCAGCTTTCTGATGTTAGGAAAGTAAAACCCAAATAATTCATCCCAGTCTTGATATGAAGCGACAGGCAAGTTATAAATGTGGGCAAACTGGATCCCATGAGTCACACATTCACATTGTTTGTCACACAAGTTGTCCACAGTCATTTGCAGCAGTGAAGGAAATAAGCAAACCACATCAGTGGATGAGTCGAAGCATCAGAGCTTTGCAAAGTGATTTTTGTTTTTAGTTAAATCTGAAAAATAGAACTTAAACTGCAAGAATATTACATTGAATCAAATAGACTATTTTGCTTTGAAAGGTGAAAATTTTGTCATCCTCTCTGTTTCTGGGTTTAAATTACAACCAGAGGTCTTATATGCATGTGGGTTTAATTCATGGGTTTGTGCAGAATATGCTAGATAAATATGGTGCTGTTCAATATCAAGAGAATCKAATTTCAGTACAGAGACAACATGGATTTCTTTTTCTTCTTTTTGTTTCCAGATGACAAGCTGTAGAAGTCCTGCAGCAACAACTGCAGCGTGATAAATGAAGAGACGTCGGACTGATGAGGGTTTGAATGAAGGTAACCACCCAGGTGAGGTGTTCTTACAGCTGGCTGCAATCACTTCCTTCACCACTTTCCACCTCTGTCCTTTTCAACATGTTATTCWTTACGTTGGTTGTCTTTATGCATGAGATGGACCAGTGTGGTCCTCTCATAGACGACTTCATGTGCCTGTGTGTTAAATGCTGCTGCGCTGAATGGTTTCCTCGTGTGTCCTATGCATGATACAGAGCTACACAAGATACAGAGCTACACAAGATACAGAGCTACACAAGATACAGAGCTACACAAGATACAGAGCTACACAAGATACAGAGCTACACTCGATACAGAGCTACATGTGATATGAAACCACACAAGATACAGAGCTACACAAGATACAGAGCTACACAAGATACAGAGCTACACTCGATACAGAGCTACACTAGATACAGAGCTACACAAGATACAGAGCTATGCACGATAGAGAGCTACACAAGATACAGAGC